CCCAAACTTGTGTCTTTGTCATGTGTAGAAGAGTGAAGAGCCAAGCAACGGTTAGTAGTAAGATGTTTTAGCAGAATGCTGAATAAAGGGAGTTGGTAAACTCTAGTCACATGCTAATTCAAATTTTCAAAGAGCAAATTTTAACAGCACTTTCTAAGTTACTAGTAATTAGCCTTTAACTGTATGTAAAAATTAAAACCTATGGAATTGAACTGTCAGCAAAAAGTATTAAAGAATTCCAGTTTTAAAAATCAGATAATTTATCAAGAGAGCTTTAGCAATCCACTACTGAGCTATAGATTATACCATAGATTGTCATACATTGACCATGACAATATTAACATTGATTATGTGCATTGGCATAGTTTGCATAACAATATATACTGAATATGTCTATGTTTTATTTAAGTACAGTGTATACATATTTCAAGACTACAGACCTCACTACAACAATACATCTACAGCAGGAAAGAGCAAGGGATACTCTAATTAACATGCATCTTATTTACACTTCTTTCATGCAAATCATTAAATAAATCATTTATTTCATTCAAGGTAGGTGTTCTTTTTATAAATATATAATCCAGTTGGGAAAAACATGGAAATCTTAAACAAAATCCTATAATAGAGAGTGTCCAATGATTAGTATAAAATGTGCTATTGACATTTGTGAAGAAATGATTTATTTTATAAATTACAAATTATAGCTAGGTAAGTTAATATCTTTGGGAAAAAGTTTATGAAGAAGAGCATAGGAGATTTAGGAAGCATATTGGAAAAGAGGAAAGGCTAGAGAGTCAGGGCAGTATAGGGTCAGAGGAAGGACAAAGGAGTGGAGAAAATTCTCATCAGATTCTCTGAGAAACTAAAAACAATGAGAAAAGACCATTCTGAGATGAAGTGGTAAGGGTTGAGAATTGAGGGTGTGGGATAGGGAGGGCAAAACCCAGATTGCTGGAGGTTAAGAATAGAAGAGATGGCCAGAGTGCAGACAACAGCATTCATTAGAAAAGCATGGCAGTGTCAGATGAGAGAAAGGATGACATTTTATTAAGTCTTTATTGATGCTGTCCCCTCACATTGAACTTGACTTTCTCTAAGTCCTTTTGCACTTAATGAAGCAGTGCTTTATTATTTTTAGAAAAGCATTTCTAAGCTTGCCTGATCATAAGATTCGCTGGGCACTTAATAAAAATAGAAATTCACAGACTACATTTAAATGTAGTAAACAAGAATCTCCAGTGACTGTATCTGGAAATGTATATATTTTCTTTATATAAGCAATCTAGGTCATTCTTGTGATCGGGCAAGTTTGGGAAACACTGTATTAGCACATGAATTTGTAAGGGAGAAAAAATATGATTTTTTCTTTGTGCTTTTGGGTTCTTAGATGGGAGCCCTGTAACAATAACACCACCAACAACAAAAAACAGATTAAAAGCAAAAGAAGTTTACTAATATGTATATTCCATATATACATGAGAGGAAACTCAGGGAAAGAGTAACTCTCAAAGATATGGCCCAGAACTTCGACTTATATAGCATCTTCAACTAAAACAAAGAAAAAAATGGTGTGGGAAGGCAAGTTATGGAAGGTTGACTAGGAAAAGCAAGGTAAACAAAATAAGGTCTGTTGAGCAGATTTAAGTCGATGCTGTCTCCATTGGTAAGAGTCTCATGATTTGGTCATCCTTCTCTTTCTGATATATATAGGGAGACACTCCTACAAAGGGAGATTTTTGTTATAAATGTAAATTTCCTTATAGAACAGTAATTCTACTCTGTTTTCAGATCCTCTCTTGTGCTTGCTATTTCTCAAAATAATCAGCTCAAAATAATCCTTATGCCAAAGAGGCATATTTCAGGGTGGCATATTCTGTTTTCCAACAAAGTCATATCATAAGGTTGCCTTTTCTGCTAATGAATTCACATTTTAAGATTTGCTTAGTCAAGAATTATATATTCTTTGTGCACATAGATTGTGCCTTATATTTCTTTTGTATTCCATAGAACATTGATAATGTCATTGATAATGTCATGTTTTACACATGACATGTGTAAAAAGAAATCATGTTGATTAACTAAGTTTTATCTTTTAGAAGTGAATGTTATTCATCATTCCAGTGCTTGATGGAGATTTTTGAGCATGTCTATATCAATGGCTCCTCATAAATTCAGTGTCATATGAACTGTGTTGCTTCCTGGTGGTTTTACATATTCTATCCAAACATCTTTATATAAATTATGTGGAGGGATTTTCAGAATAAACTAGAAGAGAAGCCCTCTCAAAGACAGGGGCTAAAACTATTTCGCTAACATATCAATCTTTGAATCTGCTTCTGAGAGAAAAAAAAAAAAGCCAATTTTGGAAAGGTGCTTATTCTATATTATGCAGATACCCTGACTATATTGACTAAATACCTTAGGCGATTTTTCAATTGTGCATAAATCTTCCTCTGGTATTTTTGTCTGTTTGTTCAGGTAGAGGAGAACATTATTATTATTAGCACCTCTTTCCCTGGGGCAAATTTGCAGTTCTTTGTGAATGTTCAGTTTTATTCACTCAGCACAACACATGTTTTTTGAGCAATTATTATGTTCCAGGCATTTTTCTAGGCACTAGACATATTGCCAAGAATAAAAGAAACAAAGTGCTTGCTCCCATGGAACTCACCTTCTAGAGGGAGAGACAGACAGTAAATAACCAAATTAGCGTAAGTCAGTGCACTTAAGAAAGAAAAAGTAGGGTAAAGGGGTTGAGGAGGCAGGGTGAACATGGGGGTTATTTTAGATGGGGCAGTCAGGGAAGACCACTGCAAGCAGATACCTGAGTGAGTGAAGGTGGGGAGCACTGAGAAACCCTGGGGAACAGTATCCTGGCAGAAGGAAGGGAAGTACACATGCCTTGGGCTGAGAGTATGCTAAACTGGAGGGAAGGGAGCAATGTAGAGGTAAGAGGGGAATGATGCCAGGAAGGCAATGTGTTCAGAAAGCAATATTAAGGATTTAAAAATAATAGATAACATTTTTGTGGCAAATACTGTATTCCAGGTGCTGTTTGAAAAATTTTATAGACTTTAATTTAATACTTGCAATAACAGTGTGTGCTATTATTATCTCTATTTTAAAGATGAGGTGACAGAGGAGTTCATTCACTTGCACGAGGTTGCCTAGCTATATTTGCACAGCCTGTGAGCATTGCAATTTAAACCCACTGTTCCACTCTTGCCTATTCTACTGGCCTTCAAACAAATTTTATTTTATTTTTCTTCTCTTTCCCACCCTATACTTTTCTTATAGAAAGGAAATAGACATAATGGATGGAAAGGAGTAAGACATCTAGATACTGCTTATAGAATCTTATCCCCTTCTCAATATTCACCCTAATTGGGAAGGATTGAGGAAGAAGATCAAGGAAATTGGATTTTTGTGATATGTCCCAAGCTCAATTTTCAAACAACAGAAATGTTATTTTCTTTCATTTTCCTTGTGCATCTCCCCACTTATTTTCCATTTGATTATTGATCTAGGGTCCATGACCTAGGTACTCTATAGACAGGATTTATGTATTGATTTAGCCTGAAAGACACATAGTTTCAGCATGTTATTTCTGAAAGGGGGTTATTATGGTCAACCAGGCATGCAGGCTTCACCTATAGCTATTCCTTTGATTTTTTTGAGGATGATCCATGCTTCCTTGTCAGTCTGGTCCTGTCAATGCAGATGATAGCAGCTGTAGAAGCTGTACAGACACCTGAAATGAGCCAATCTTTTATCCCATAAGGTTCTCACAGTTTAAATTTTCAGGAAGAAAATGGAATTTAACGTGTGTATATGTGTATGTGTGTTTGTGGGTGTGTGTGTGCATGAGTTTCTTATTCATTCCAAATGTTATTTAGGAAGAATCTTGAATGTCTCATGCTTTTTCTCTGAAGATAACTAGAATCCACTCTCTGGAATGAATATATGCGAATATTGTTGAGGGCAGGACATTAAAGAGCTTGGGTTGGACTGTAAAGGTGGTGACAAAGATCGTGCATTTTTCTATGACACATAAAACCCAGGAGGCAGAGGAAAGAATTCGAAGTGAAGAATCAAAAAAATCTAACATTAGAAGAAAGACTAAGAGAGGAACATTTCTTTCCTTGTATCATGTGATGGGAAAAGAAGTGGAATGGGAATTGGGAAAATGGCTTCTAGTTCTAGTAATTTTTCTGCCCACTGTATAACCTTAGACAAATCATTTAGGTATGTGGGCTCAATATAGCTATGACCATAGGAAAGTTGCTTCATCTTTCTGTGCCTTAGTTTCCTCATCTGTAAAATGGCAATAATAATGGTATTAACCTCATAGGATTGTTGTAAGAATTGACTAGTTAATACATGTAAAGCCTTAGCATAAAGTCTGACAAATAGTAAACGCAATGTCAGTTATTATTAATTTCTTAGAGCTTATATGCTCATATAAAGAGAGACTTCTAATTTTATAAATGCATCGTTTTTGCATATTTTTTTCAAACTCTGAAGAATTCCTTCATTTGAAGAACTCACTTTTTTCCTCCCTGCTCCCAATTAGTTAAACAAAGTAAGAGTACCCATTTCCTAGAGAATATATCCCACACTTCTGAGCCATGCATTTAAAAGTCTTTGGAGTCCAGGCCTGCTTAAACTTCCGAATCTTATTTCCAATCGCTTCTTTTTGCATAGCCTACCTGTCGGGAAGATGGAGCCACCAGCTCCATGAGATGGCCCACACATCAACTTGACTTTTGCTGCTCTTCTACCTTCTCCTCAACTCAACATCTCAAAATACATTTTATTCATCATTCAAGACTCAACTCAAATACCAACTTTTCTTATAAAATGTTTTTGACTCTCTCACATGGAAGTGTTCTCTTCATTTTAAAAACTTTACTGGTACTCATTTGTGTCTCTTTTATGAAAGTGATTATTTCCTATCTTGTATTACAATCAAGTTCATGTTATAACTTTCTGTGGCATATTAAAGTTGGCCACAAATTCTCAACACTCTTCCCATTCAGATGTGGGGTTTGTCTTTCCTGTCTATGAAACAAGGTAGATTCAGGGATTGCTTGACCCACAGAATATGTTGGACAATACCTTAATCCTGTGCTAGTTTTTGAATGCAGGCCTTAAGAGACTGGTTGCTTCCACTTCCTATCTCTTGAATACTTCCTCTGAAGAAAGCCAGCCACCATGTAAAAAGTCCTGTTCTGTGGCTGTCGTGCTGGAGGGTATGTATAGGCACTCCTCTTGACAGTCTGGATAAGTGGACACACCAGCCCATCGGCCATCTGAATACCATGGAGGGACCTCCGTTAATACCGCACAGAACAGAGAATCATCCAGCTGAGACCTATCTGAATTCCCGGGTGATGGAATTGTAGGACATAAGGAAATGGGTCTTTATTTAAGCCACTGTTTTGGGGTGTGCTATGGTCTGGATGTGTCTCCCCAAATTTAGATGTTGAAACTTAATCACCAATGTGATAGTATTAAGAGGTGGTGCCTTAACGAGGTGATTAAGTCATGAGGGTAGAGGTCTCACAGATGGGATTAGGGACCTTAGAAAATGGCTTGAGGGAGTGTGCTCACCCTCTCCTGCTCTTCTGCCATATGAGGACACAGGGTTCATTCTCTTTTCTTTGCCCTCCCATCCCTTCTGCATCGATACATGGAGAGACCTATGAGCAATGGGCTTTTCCCAGACACCGAACCTCTCAGCACTTTGATCTTGGACTGCGGAGCCTTCAGAATTGTGAGAAATAAATTTCTGGGTTTTTTTTAAATAAATTATTCAGTCTTATGCATTTTGTTATAGCAGTACAAATGGACTAACACAGAGTGATATGTTATGCAGCTATAGATAACTAAAACACCTTTCTCCAGGGTTCTGAGTCCTTTAATATCAGAAACTCCATTGTGTTCACCTTCATATCTCTACAGCAACCACCACTAGGCCCAGGCACTTGTAAAAGGATGAGTTGTTTTCCAGAAGCGTCCCAGACTCTCAAGCGTTTTTCTAAGGCCGGGGTTTTTCTTTTTGACTGTACATTAGAACCAAAGAGAGTTTTAAATCTTGGAGTAGAATCAACCACCTGTAACATATATTATAGTTATTCCTTTATAAAATGGAAAAAGAGCAGAGTGAAATGAAAAGGCAAATACTTCTTTATGTTTGAGAGATAGGAGAGACAGATGGATTAAGATATTTCAGGCTGCTCTCATGGAGATGTGAGTGTTTCTTTTAAAGTAGTATTTAGTGAAGAGTCTCATTTTTCTCTGAGCTGTGGCTTTCCTCATTACAGGGGATAATAGGGACTGCATTTAAATCTAATAAATATATAAATCCATCATGGATAGATTCTTATAGACTATCTATTATGCAGTGGACCCTATTCTGAATAGAGATAGAGACTAGAGAAAACATATAAGGTACTGATCCTGTCCTCAAGGTGCTTGTAATTATGTCTTATTATTTTGAGGAAATAAAATTCCCATACAGACTCAATAAAAATGCTACTAGGCAGAATATATATATATATATGGTTTTTTTTTTTTTTTTTTTTGCTAAATCGAAAGGTGCAAGTATTGAAGGAGTTCAGAGGAAGGGAGATAAATAGAGAATGGAACGGCCAGAGATGTGAATGATAGGGCATTATTTGGCTGAGGAAAGGGAATGTCAGGTGCAGAAAAAACAAATATGTGAAGCTCCAGAAATAAAATAACATTGAGTGTTTTTTTGTTGGAGGGCGGTAGAGACCAGCCTGGAGAGGGAACATGCTGGGGAGAAAAAAGAAATAAAGTTGAGCTGCTTAAATGTGGAAACATTATGAAAGAGATTTCTTAAAACCCTTCCAATCTTTTCCAAAAACTATAATGCTACAATTCTATTACATTGTGATTTTGAGTAGCACATAAACCATTTGATCCCCAGTTATGTGAATAAAGGTAGCAGTTGGCACAGTCCAACTAGCCACACCTTAGCACAGATTTTTAACTTCCTCTTTTCAATCATTAAGCTGACCTTTTGCTCCAAGGATTGAGCAGGGGACAAATGCAAAAAAAAGCAATTGTCCCATTTGAGCAGTTGGTCATCAGTTGTCAGTCCAGCTTCTAGCTGAATATCTAAATGTTGTGCAAGAAAACAGTTTTCCCAAGGCTCTGGGGCCCTGAACATTGGAATGATAACCCAGGAATCGATGATGCAAGACAGGAAAATGATTCTTATCTCTGTGAAACCTCCCAGACACTAAAGAGAGAGTTGGGACATCTGTTCATCTTTAAATGCATATGACTATTTCTTTGACTAAATAGCAATTGGGCTTTATACATCTGTTGTCCAACCACTGCTAATAATTTCAGCATAAATCAGCGTCATACCTGTAAATGTGCTTATGTATATATTACCTGGGTGTGTTTGTGTGTGTTAAAAGCTTCAGATTAGCTGAAGACAGAACGCTGAGCAAAACATACATAGCCTCTGCCCTTGTGGTGTTTATATTCTACTAAAGAAATAAGACATTTAGCAATAAGCTATTTAATTATAAATTTGGTAAGTGCTTTAGAGAAGTATGGAATGAGGTTTGCCAAAATGGAGAGAATGATCTGGTCACAACAACCCAACAATTCTAGCCCCTATGAGAGGTAATTTATAAATGTAGGTGTTTTGATTTCATGCCTCAATCTCAGGAACATATTTATGAACAGATCCCTGGAAGAGGGACCTTCTCACCCGCACCAATGCAACTGGTAACCTCACTGTTACCAATAAGGTAACAGTGGATACATGAAGCCTCCTTCTGTAAGGCCACTTGAAGAGCAGTTATGCCATGTTCTTTAGGGACCAACCTCTGCATTGCAACAGATTAATTCTCCCTTTCCCTAACTGTCTACATTTTTTAAGAAGGAATTTAAGTAGTGTCCCTTCCTGTACAGAAAAATGTTATCCCTTTCCAGAGACAATACAGCCATTTGAGAAGGGATTTTATTTCTTGCTAAAGTATAATTTCATCTGACTTAACCTACAGGTTAGCTGAAAGACTTAGCATTACAAACCATGTACATATTTAAAGGATTGGGAATAATTCATAGGCAGAGGACAATGCTAACCTAAAAGTAAATATTAAAATTGGCCGCTGCCCTAAGGCATACCTCTTATGACTTGGATCACATTAACCATAATTTGGAAAGAAAATTAACTTTCAAATTGGTCTGTGTGGTTTCCAGTGCCCCTTCTTCCCCCTCCATTCACTCATCCCTTGTCTGGACTCCATTTCCTTATGCACTGAAAAGGGGAACCTCTCTTTCCCAACTACATTAGCTTCCTGTGGCTGCTATAATAAATTACCACCAACTTGGTGGATTAAAACAGCAGAACTGTATTCTCCCATAGTTCTGGAGGCCAGAAGTCTGAGATCAAGGAGTCACAGGACCACACACCCTCTGGAGGCTCTAGGAGAGATTCCATTTCTTACCTCTTGTAGCTTTGAGTGGTTGTTGGCAGTGCTTGGCTTAGGGCCACATCCTTCCAATCCCTGCCTCCATCCTCACATTGCTTTTCCTCTTCTGTGTTTTTTCCTCAGTGTGTCTGTCTACACCTCTTCTCTCTTATTAGGATGCTTGTGATGACATGTAGGACCCACCTGAAGATAATCCAGGATTGTCTCCTCATTTCAAGATCCCTAATTTAATCACATCTTTGAAAAACATCTTTCTCCAAATAAGGTAACATTCAGAGGTTCCAGGGATCTGACATGGGCATCTTTTGGGGGGTCATTTTTTGGCCTACTATACCTACCACCAGCAGTTGACACTCTTTCATGTGGGCAAGTCTGTATTTCCTACAAGAACGTGAGCTTCTGAGTGACAAGGAGTAATGCATTTTTTAATCCTTCATAGTGTCTATACACCATTAAGCACATATGGGGAGATAATTCATTCTTGGTAAACTGTTAACACATAACTTTAGATAACATATGGATAAATTAACTTCTTGGAGGGGAAAAAGCTCTGTATAACCACAAGTCCAAGAACAAGTTGTCAGAATACACCCTCTAGCCTACTACACCATTACCAACCCATACCAAAAAATGACATAGACAGTTTCTAAAACCCCACTCATCAAACCAAGGTGTCCTCATTTCAGTCATGTTGCCCTTCCAAGCTCCCCAGCTGCTGCCTCTACCCCCACCTCATTCTGGGGGAAAGAATCTTTCTTCCCACTGAAATGTACTGTCCACCCTGGGCCTGCCATTCCTACAGCCCCTGACCATTGAAACTTACCTAGCATAATGCTCAGCTGCTTAAGTCTCAAGTAGCTGATGTGATAAGCAAATCTTTCAGAACCTCTCATTGATCAGCTTGTCAACCTCACTAACAGAGCTTCCACCTACCATGCCCTGAAAATGCAGCCAATTTGGAGTAGTGATCTACTATTGAAATGGGGGCTCAGAGGCTCAAGGTTGTGGAGTGTCTTCAATGAATTCCTTAAAATAACATTCAATAAGTAGCAGAACTGGGGCATAGCTATTTTGATGCCAAATCCCATTTCTTTTTCCATTTCTAATCTAGCAGCAGCTCAGAGGACGCTGTGAATCATGTCCCCAACCTGGCCACGTTTGCCCCCATGCTAGGGGATGACCCTGTTCACAAAATGTGGGAATTTTTTCTTACTCAAATATGTTTTCTTATTCCTTTAGTCGATTTTTAATTCTGAATTGGGCATGGCTCTATTATTTTCCTTTGGCTTCTCAAGAATAGTCTTAGAGGAATGGCGTTGGTTTACTGGGCCAGTGGTGAGGGCTTTTATAGCCACACCCCTTTCTTAATCTTGGGATTTAGGAGCACAAAAGGGAAACTTTGAAAAGTTCTTTTTATGTCATTTCCCCCTTCTCAGTCATATAACTTTAAAAATGCCCCAACCAACTTATTTATTTAAAAAAAAAAAAGTAGTAGAAATTTCCCTTCTGGACTTATTTTCCATGTGCTGAGTTTGAGCCTGGAGCACATTTTTACTGCTGGAAATAAGGGGTTATAATGAAAATGCTGACACAACCTCAACCATAGAGGTGCTAGCAGGCACTGCCGTAATAAATAATGTGGGAAATATTTTACACTTCAAGGCAATTACATGTTCAGCCATCTTTAGGATAGCTGGCCCATGAAGGGTAGGGATTAGGTTTCTGTGACAAGTGTAAAAGACCCATGACTCATGAATGCCGGGAGGTATGAATGAATTACAAGAGCTGAGTGAAAGCCACATAATTACCTATCATAGGTAAAAAATATTCTGTTTATTTGCAAGGGAGAAAGATGGCAAAATCCAGCCAGGGCATTCCTGCCAGTTTGGGATTTGCCCAACAAGGCTGGAGGTGCTGAATGTTGGGCAATCCTCTCTATGAACTGCCACAGGCACATAGAAGCTGATTTTTATTCGTGACCTTTCTTTCATGTAAGTATGTTTTCAGTGGACAGTAAAATGATGACTTATGTTCCCTGAAGGTGGGGAGTGCCCGTGTACCTACTGACAGTCATGTGGCCAGAGGAGCACTGAAGATAGTGACAGAGCCATTCAGCAGCTCAGTTCTGCTCAGTGTGTACAGCCATCGGCATGCCCTGTCTTGCCTTTTGATTGCCACATTCATTCTTTCCTTCAAGAATAACGGCAGTGGCTGTTCAAGTGCCTCTCCCCTAGGGGCTATTCACCTGTAAGTATGGGAAGTTTGCTTTTACTTCTCTTCTTCCGGTAAGCTCCTTGAGCAAACGAGGGGGTGTAGTAATGAACCAGGTCACATGAGTTACAGAGTCCCCTATCTGGGTTAGATGCTCCATAACCATCTCTAACTCCCAAAGCATTGCACTTAGAGTATTTTACTCCTGTTATTTGCTGAATGAATTCACTCTTCCTTTAGATGGTAAGCTTCATGAAGACAGAAACTGCATCTGTCTTATTTGGGGCTGCACTTCTGAAGCCTAACATACTGCCTGGCACAGGACTGATATTCTGTAACTAAATCAACTAAATAAAAGGGTGGCCTTACGGGCTAAAACATCTCATATGTCCATTCATCTCACAAACAATATTGTGACTGTGCAGGCGTTGATGTGGTTATTTGGTATAAGTGAGTGATTCTGGCAGCCCTAGAGGGGCTCCCCTTGCGGTGGGAAGCACAACTGAGTGAATAATCACAGAGGAGTCTGACGAAGGCTGTAAAGAGCGTCTCAGACCAGATAGAATGTCGGCAGAGAAAGGAGTGATCAATTCGGCATATATGGTGTATTACTTACAGATGCTTATAGCATTGGGCCTTGTATTGTTAGTTATCAGTTCATTCATATGGTCTATCACCCCAAATAATCACCAACCATATCTTCTACGTCTTCATTTCTTCTGTAATAACCTATCACAGAGTTTGCTATATCTAGATAGTTACTGAATAGGACGCTATGATGAGAATAGACAGGTGTCATTGTCCTTCGGGCTGCTTATTAAAAAAAATTCCATAGACTGGATGACTTATAAACAATGTGTCATTCACACTTCTGGAGGCTGAGGAGTGCAAGATCCAGGTGCCAGCAGGTTCTGTGTCTGGGGAGAGCTTGCTTCCTGGTTCATAACTGGCTGTCTTCTCACTGAGTTCTCACTTGGAGCAGGGGACAGGGAGCTCTCTGGAGCCTCTTTCATAAGGAAACTAATCTCATTCATGAGAGCTCTATCCACATTGCCTAATTACCTGTAAAAACCCTACCTCCCACTACTATAACATTGGGTGTTAAAATTTCAACACACGAACTGTTTTGAGAGGATGCAAACATTCGGTCTATAGCAACAAGGAATATGACTTTAAGTTAAATTACTTGGAAATAAATACCAATCTTGCTACTTACTGGCTTGTGACCTCGAGTTCATTGTTAAACCTTTGCTAAACCTTCTGAGCATTAGTTTTCTTGTCTATAAAATGATTATACCTGTCCCACACTTCTATATTGGGAATTAGACAAGTAGAAATTAAGCAAATTTTATGCTCAATGTTTTTTGTTTATTATTTTTTGGCATCTTAATATCACTTTGTTCATGGTCAAGAGATAAATTACATGTTCAACTAAAAGTATAGATGGTTGGAAATTGTGAATGTGGTAATTCCCTTGAAATGGCTTAGTGTTTTAGGGAATCTAACAGTGTGGTGGTACTTAGTTTAGGATACATTCATTATGTAATGGAATAGAATTTGTTTAGATTCATTATTTTTTTGGTAAACTTTTTAATTTAAGTATAACATACACATAGAAAAGTATACCTAAAGAACATATGGAATTTCACAGAATATATCCATTTAACCACAAGTGATATTTTTTTGATGTTTTTGATTTTTTAAATTTATTTTTTTCAGCATATTATGGGAATACAAATGTTAAGTTTACGTATATTGCCCTTGTTCCTCCTCCCCTCTCAAGTCAGAGCTTCAAGCCTGTCCACCCCCCAGTTGGTGCACATCGCACTCATTATGTATGTATATATCCATCCCCTCCCCCCCCCACCTGCCCAACACCCAATTAATGTTATTCCTATATGTCCACTTAGGTTAGATTCCTAAAACACTAAGCCATTTCAAGGAATCACCACATTCACAATTTCCAACCATCTATATTTTTAGTTCAACTGTAATTTATCTCTTGACCATGAACAAAGTGATATTAAGATGCCAAAAAATAATAAACAAAAACATTGAGCATAAAATTGCTTAATTATTACTTGTCTAATTCCCAATATAGAAGTGTGGGACAGGTATAATCATTTTATAGACAAGAAAACTAATGCTCAGAAGTTTACAAAGGTTTAACAATGAACTCGAGGTCACAAGCAGTAAGCAGCAAGATTGGTATTTATTCCAAGTAATTTAACTTAAAGTCATATTCCTTGTTGCTATAGACCGAATGTTTGCATCCTCTCAAAACAGTTCGTATGTTGAAATTTTAACACCCAATGTTATAGTAGTGGGAGGTGGGGTTTTTACAGGTAATTAGGCAATGTGGATAGAGCTCTTATGAATGAGATTAGTGTCCTTGTGAAAGAGGCTCCAGAGAGCTCCCTTGCCCCCTGCTCCAAGTGAGAACTCAGTGAGAAGACAGCCAGTTATGAACCAGGAAGCGCTCCTCCAGACAAAGAACCTGCTGGCACCTGATCTTGCACTCCTCAGCCTCCAGAAGTGTGAATACACATTGTTTATAAGTCATCCAGTCTATGGAATTTTTTTTAATAAGCAGCCCGAAGGACAATGACACCTGTCTATTCTCATCATAGCGTCCTATTCAGTAACTATCTAGATATAGCAAACTCTGTGATAGGTTATTACAGAAGAAATGAAGACGTAGAAGATATGGTTGGTGATTATTTGGGTGATAGACCATATGAATGAACTGATAACTAACAATACAAGGCCCAATGCTATAAGCATCTGTAAGTAATACGCCATATATGCCGAATTGATCACTCCTTTCTCTGCCGACATTCTATCTGGTCTGAGACGCTCTTTACAGCCTTCGTCAGACTCTCTGTGATTATTCACTCAGTTGTGCTTCCCACCCCAAGGGGCCCTCTAGGCTGCCAGAATCACTCACTTATACCAAATAACCACATCAACGCCTGCACAGTCACAATATTGTTGTGAGATGAATGGACATATGAGATGTTTAGCCCGTAAGGCCACCCTTTTATTATATTGATTTAGTTACAGAAATCAGTCA